CGCCACACTCAAAATTGTACAAATGCAGAGTTCAATTACTAACCTTGGCCCATAAAAATACTTGGCCCATAAGGAATACTGTCCTATGTAATCATAGAATATCTCGCGTTACTGACATAAGGCACGGACCCACTGGATGTGCGCATAACAAACACACACCACCCACTTTATTGAATACGTACTCGAGTACGTAAAGAAGTATAAGTTAAACAAAGCTATACTTCAATATTGCAGTCTTTTGTTTTTGTATGAATGTTCTACAGTGCGCTTGTCACACCGCTTATGTTGTCCATTGCCGCATGTACCACTCAGACTGCTAATACGAGAGGCATTGTGATCGCGTAGAAAGACGGTCTGCCAAAGAGGAACACCCCGAGAATTCAAATATTAGAGATTTCAAAAGGGTAAGCACGCGCCTGCTAAGAATATACCCATGAAACGACATGCTAATGAAACGTATCTACGAGCCTATACAGCCTCGTATTGATAGCTAACGCGAGCTCAATCTGTTATTTTCATGCAGATTCGTAGATGTTAACAAACTAACCTTGCCAGGTCTCAGCAAAAACTTTCTTAAAATCTCTGCGCTACTAGGTTAGGTTTTTTTCAAGAGAGCCCCGAAACTTACTAAGTGACTATTCGGTTAAATTATTATAATTAGATCTAACATACAGTATGACGCGGAGCAACGATATATCATTGCAAAGATGGGAGTTTAGAACGTGTCCCAAGTGGCCAAACTTGCGACATAGAAACTGATCATTATATTATAGATTATATATGCTAAAAAACGTTCAGTTTAATCGACTTAGGTTTTAGATAGTCAATACACACTTAAAAACAAAAATATGCCTACGCTTCCTGAGACGACAATTCTAGGTAACGGTCGTACGCACCCTCAAAGTAAATCATCAAAGGCTGTTTACTGCGGAACTCGAAACCTACAGCATATAATAGAAGTTAGTCATGTTATTTAACTCCTCTCGATTGAAGTTACCCGAACTGTGGGCAATAATAGCTGAGGCGAAAGTTTAACATTAGAATTAGACCGATTTCGGGTACGCTTTTTCGGATTCAGCTATGAGCTCTAGAGGCGTTTCATTTGAATTCATTAAATGAAGTGACTCACTCTGATATAAAAAAAGGCAAGGATTGTTGCAAAAAAAAAAAAATGCAAAAGTTACATTGTGATCTAAAGGAATCAGAAATAAGAGTAGGATGTAATCAAATTATTGCCCACCTAAAACGAGTATAGGTCAAGCTTTCAAATGTAATGTACACGGATTACCTTTTATATATAAAATACGGTTTCGAAAAATTGAATTATAAAAAGGCATACTCAATGTATCATTGAATCGTAGCGTAACATGCATAAAAACATGTACGAATTATATCTTTCGCTTCATAAGCACAGTATATCGTTTAGTTTTCCTTGAAAAAGAAAAAGCCAGGTATGAAATTAGTGACAAAATGGGCTTCTTCAGCCATAATTGGAATAGATAGAATCTAACCTGCACGTTTAAACAAAGCTCTGGCAGTACTATATTCAGTTCAACATAGTCGGATTGTTCTAAATTTTCGAAGATTTTTTGTTGGTTTAAATCTATTTTTGTCTTGTACTGAACACGGTATATCCTCCCAGATCCTTTTCGGATTTTGACGACCGTTGTGCGCATTACTGAGGCTTTGTGTGAAGTTTAATGTCTCCTTTTCTGAACTCCCGCTGGCTTATGGTCAGCAGCATGTTGGCATACACTCGTTTTAGTTGAAGTCGGAACAATTCCACTGACAGCGTTTTCCTTCAAAAATAAAGAAGTATCGAAACTTGTCTAAGGGTTCAAAATGTCTCTAGCCTGAATAACTACAGCGGCGGATATGGCTCGGCTGTGCCTAGTAATGATTGTTTTCCCTGAATTCTAAGTGTGATTTGTGGAAGTTTCCATTTCAAATAGGGGTGCATGGGCCAGTTTTTTTTCGTAGTCTATTTAGGCAAAAGCTAATTGCAGGCAATTTCGGGTTATTGCTGAGGACAACTCAAACAGCGCATCTCTGTCACAAGTTACAACTTGAAAAATAGCTCCGATTCTCTAAATCAAACAAAATCTATGTAAAAAGAAAGCGTTAAAATTTACAACAATTTTTAGCGCCGTTATTTGCTGATCATAATCATAACGGAGGGGATTGCGTAAACATTGGCTGCGTGAAACCAAAGAACCCCAGGTGGAACGGGAGGAGTTTTGTGCGAGCTAAATCAGACGCCGATAGGAATAATGGAAGGCGACTAATTAAAAAAAGAGTTAAAAGCTATATATCTCGTACCTAACCGAAGGCCGTGTGTTTTGAAACAAAGTTTCATCAAATATGTCTTACGCTGTCAGGATTTATCGTGGAAAAAGTATATTAAAAATTACCTAATACTTAGTTGTTTGCTCCCAGCACATTTGTTTAAGGGCATTAAATGAACCACTACGTAGATTCATTTATCTACAGATGCCTAATGAGAAAACAATGTTAAACAAACGTACATTCTATAAGCTGTTTGTAGGATCTTCGATTTGATAGACTGCCATGTACGTTACCGCTTCTAAGCAGTGAATGCATCAGGAAATCTTGTGGAATCAACCTGGGATCAAAGGGAAAAGTGGTGGCTTTTTCATTTCGCTAATGGACACGACTATCAATATTAACGATTTTAGTCCTATTATAGTATGTATATAGTATATTATAGTATAGTAGTTATGGGTACTTTAACAGACAAAACACGATTTCGTGTTATCGATGGTCGCCAGACTATTTTAAGGGAAACAATTAGGGTGGTATGCAAAAGGTGTTATCAAAAAAAAAAACAGTGAGAGCTGACTAATTGATTTATTGTGTAAAAGAGAGCAATGGAAGGAATTGCTTAATTTTCACTATTTATGTATGTGATTACCTCATTTAGGAAATTTCGTTCTTCGGAAAGGACACCTTCCGATATGCCTCATTAAATTGTAAGAATCTAGAAAAGATCCTTCAATCCTAGCAGCATTTGTTCGGTACTGAAAGTTAGTACCGTGCCGACTATAACGAAAAAATCACTCTCATTTGCTCGTTTTAACATACTACTAAAGCCATTACTTTTTGCAGGAACAGCAGAGATTTGTGCTTACGTTTACGTATATTCAAGCTCGTATACTAACAGATTATATAAAACGCTCTGATTTAGTAATACAGCAGCAACAGGATACGTAACTGGTCTGAGGGCAGTTGGCCTGATTGAGTGTATATTTCGATTTGGTTATACATTTTAAATTGAGAACAGATGGCATTGTTAAACGCTATTTGTGGTCAGGAAATCTCGGTGAAAGTGGTCCGGCGTCACGGTAGCTTGTGTAATATTTTTTTTACGATCCATCTAATGAATCGATAAGCAATTCTTCTAAGCTGGCAAAATACTCGCGTGTACCTTTTTCTGGTTTGTTACTGTTTTCGTCAAGTAAAAACTCTCGGCAGCCGTAAAGTGTATTTTTATTAAATGGTATATTTTTCTTAAATGAAAGAGCTGCATACTAATCGTGAATTCGCGTGGGCACAGTAAGACGGTCTGCTACTTAACCGCTATAGTATTTCGGTCTTATTGTTCAAAGGGTGGGAATTTTCATTAGTTTTTTTGAGGGTAGAAGCCTTTTCTGTCCAGGATAGCATAATGGATGTGGAGGGTGTCAGTTCTGCAGTCAGAAGTATCAGGACCCAGGGGCTAATGGAACGCCTAGGAGCATCAGAAACCCAACAAAAAAAAACATTCCACAGCCTACTAAAGATGTTCCAAGTTAGATTGTCTACCGGCTACTTGAAGCGCTGATAATGCGAAGAAGAAGTATAGCACAACCTGCTGATAACAACAGTTAGGACAAGATGATAATTCAATATGGCCGTACGGCGAATGACCACCCTTGAATAATACACATCTCACAAAACATTTTGCTCAAGCTTTGAAAATTCAATGTAGGGAAGGTTTTGGGCGCTTAGAGACAAAATAATCTTCGAAACAGACTTGTTAATTATCGATAAATATGGCCATATTTCGGCAACAATCGGTACGCTCGCTCCGAAGATAAGGAACGAATAAAAAAATTTATTCCAGTAAACTGATAAGAATGAGTTATGTCATAAAATAGCGCATATTAGCCACTGTGGATTTAGTTAGCCATGTCGTAAGCAGTAGTAATTGCTAGTGAAGCTAGATAATAATTCAATGAACTTGGACAAATCTCAGGTACAGGTTATTTCAAGGCTTTTCTGCTCGATTTGGTCCGTCTTTAATTGAATCTAGGGTTGAAAAAGCAGATACATCTAAATATAGCGACGTTATTTGTGCACAGCCCAAAAACAGGGACGACGTGATAGAATGGTTGACCTCCCGAACTACGGTCAAGCTCGCAGATAGAAAATACATGAATATCCTTCCTATCGCAAATGATCAGTAAGAATGAATATCCAGAAAGGAACTTACTTGTTTAAAACAGTGCGCTCCTGATATGTTATCGGGACGTCCCATAATCGTAGTGGATGCTTATTTAGAAGCACGAACAGCCTATCTAGGCCATTTAATTAGAATTACCATACTCTGTACAAATGTTTTATCACAAATAAATATCCTAAAAATCTTACCGCTACATTTATTTCTTAATTTATAAATAACAAATTATTTAATTAGAATTGATAGACTCTAAGAAAAAAAAACATATCGCAAAGATTTTGCCAATTTAATGAAACTGTGTTCGTCTTCGGATCGTTTCTTCGTTGCATAGGTAGAAAAACGTTTCTGCATGTCCCTCCCCCGTCCCCCTCGCTACGACAATTAATCGCCCGCTAATTATATTTCGTTGATAGCGGTACAATCGATCACAACAAACAACAGTAATGCATTTATCCGTCTATTTACGACAAATTACTGTTGTTTATGCGCACTATTGATTGCTGGGACTTTGTAAGAAGACCAACATATTGCCATCCTCTTTTTTCACCTGTCCCCAACTTGTCAGTCTGTATTTGTCTCTTACCCTACTAACGAGGACAGTGCGTCACCATTCTCAGGCTATGGGACGCCTTCTAATAAACTCAGTTATCACACAAAGTCTTGACTCGCAGTTGTAACCATCGAGACGCTAAAATCTGCATGTTTAAAGGAGGCAGCTGATAAATGTAGAGAGAAACTGAACCATTCTACAAACCTTCTCACCCATTGTTGTGTTAGAGAGAAAGGCCATTGACGCTACAGAAGCGGTACCACCAAAGCTGATGAAACTAAGCTAACTACGTTCGAAATTCGAGACGAGCGTCTCTTAAAGTCAATGCGTTGCAGTGGATGGATGGAGGTTCGATGGGCTAATGGGTCCCTTCGTGCTTACTTGACCGTTCCAAGTTTAGTTTCAACGTTACGCCAGCAGTGTCTAACAAAAGTGTGTTAATTATGATTACCATTATTATATGAGACGCGTTTACTGCCTATGGAGTTCTATTCAGCATACACAAACGTATCTTCGAAAATCGTCAAGACTTCGTAGCGATATGTCCCGATTGTGGTGCTATTGTTTAACTCGAATTTATGGCCGAGAGTGACCGGCGGGGCCGGTTCTTAGATAACTAGCGACTCATTGGGTGTTGATAAGAAGAGTGGGTCTCGTTCGATGTGTAGTCTTATAAAAGACGGCGAAATCCCCGAGGAGGGAGAAATCTCTGAATCTCCAAGTCGGTCTTCATCGGACTTCTCACCGTGGGATTCTGCCTCGTCGAGTTACGAATTACTAGCCAAATCACCCGCCGACGACCAAAGCAAACCCAACGAAGAAATCGAAAATTATTCTCGGTCAGGACCTTCTCATTCGCTCAACGCACAGTCGACCTTTAGCTCAGTTCAGACGCAAGACCTTCCAAGCTCCCCGGTTGAGCTTCTTCAACAACCGGCAACTCGAACTTCTTCAGACGTTGAAAATCAAGCTCCGTCGTTTAGCGAGCACAGCAGTGCGACCGTGGAGCCTATTGATTCGAGAAGATTTTCAGCCGAAGAGCTCGGTACGCTGTCTGAGACTGAACTGGTCGTCAGAGAACGCGGCATCGAAGTTGAAATTCTTCGCCTCCGCGACCTGTTGTTGGCAATTCAGCAAGAACGTCAAAGGAGGCTGCTTGAATCGCTTCGCGAAGAGTATCCAGCTGGTAGCCGACTCACCCGTTCGAAAGATCCGATACAGTTCTGCGCGAATCGCATGTGGGCGCGAGAACTTGCTTTAATGGTTGATGCCCGACGTCAGTCCGAGATGCTGGCGGACCAAGATGCAGTGAAGGATCGACGGAAAAGCATAACGCCATCTTCCGAAAATAAGGTAAGGTCGGTTGGTGGATCGTTGGGATCGATGGGACTACCTCAGATCGGTTCACCGAATAATCCTCTAATTAAAACCCAGCAAAAATGTGAGACGGCAGACACCGTTCCAAGAGATCTGCTAGAGTCGGAAGAGAAACCTCCCCCACCGCCACCCGGTCGTCCACGAACCCTTTATACGATGGATGCTATCAATGGACTCGTGTATGAGGTTATTGAGGTAGACTTGACCGCCGGCCTTGCCCTGACCCCATCAGGTATGCAGGACCTTTCAGACGCGCACTATGTATTTGGACGTGATGAAGATACAGACGCTCTTGTGCTCCTGGAAAACATCACGCATTTGTTTAACAAATTTCCTTACCTTAATCGAAAGAGGGAGATATAGTGTGAGGTCAAACTATTGGAAGCGAATAATGAGTACTAGTTAGCTTACGTATGTTGATTATAAGTGAAGGCAAGTTCGTGTAAATGTACGCAAATGCGCATGAGTTTTATATTAGAAATGTAATTTTAACTATGTGCAAGATAAAGTCCATACTGCGGACAAGGTCTCGCGAGATTAGCTGCCATTTAGAACGGACAAACGCGTGCTAAAGAGTCGGAGAACAGACTGGCTTGTACATAAATATTAAACCGAAACATGGGTCCTGAAGCATTTCATGCTAATATATAGTTACATGCATTTACCCTACGCGAGTTTCCTTTTTTGAATATGCTTGCCTAGCACGCGCATGTCTATAAGGTACTGCTTTACAGCAGATGAACTCAATTTTCAAGGTCTTACATTTAATTAGCTGATTCCGTATGCGTTGATGAGAAGACCCTTTTCTTGGATATGAAACAACTAAGTTGAGGATTCAGGCTTAAAATCTAAGAAGTTGAAAATATACTTTTTATTAAGTCATAATTGGCAACGGTAGCTTTGAAATGAGCGGTAACTTCAATGTCAGCGGTCCATTCTTACGGCTTACCACTTTGGAGTGCGTAAACGTACTTTTTACAATTACAAACGAAGTGCATTGAACCGCTAGCGTTCTCGCTTCGGAGGTACGTATCATCACTCTCGGCTGTCCAGTGCAACGACTGTCAATATCGAGGGATATCTAGCCCTGAAGAATGTAATGGAACCGTGTAGGAATTTTTTCTTAGGTGTCAGTTCGCTCTCTGTATTATTCTACAAAGGCTCGTAAGCATAAATCATATGGAGCAGCTGTCGCTTAATGAAGAAACAGTGACGCAAATATCTGCGCAAGCACGGCCCGACCTAATGAACGGGTACCTGCCGCTTGCCTAATACCGAACAAACATTTTCAATTTTCATGTCTGATACTGCAATTGGACAGCGCTTCCAGCCCCAAATGAATGAGCCTGATGTTTTGTTCCGGATCTGAATCAATTCACGTGTTTCTAAGTTTAATTGCGAAACACGCACGTTACCACTGCATCATAGGGACGAGTGCTTCTCTGCTATTACATCACACCGAAGTCTGTCCTTTCAGCGGCACATCGTTACCACTAAAAACTAATTACTCCTGGTTTTAAAGAAGACCAAGGTTTTGTCTATAGCATGGTTCTTTATAAATGTAGCGAACCAACGCATGCTCGAAATATCTGAAAGGGCTGAAAAGGCGCATGAACAGCAGGACTCTTCTATCTGATATATCGTTTCATATAGAAGACTGGTAATCTGGTACTGAGATCTGATAGCCCAAGCTGCAGGTTTTTATCACAAACGATAACTTCGAAGGTAGACTTTTGCTGCACAATATTCACTATGTAACAAAGCAAAGATAGTAGACATAGTAACATTTAAAGCACATTTTAGCAATACTTTGTAGTAGGAAAGGGGGTTACGTAAACATTGACTGTATAAGACAAACGAGACGGGCAGGTTTTGTAAACTTTGCTGGATTGACAACGCTTTTCCTACCAGATCTTCGTAGCTCATCCGAGAGAATTTTATTAGCTGTGGACCTTCTCTCAGATTCTCTCTGCGGACTAACTATTATGCCGACGATATCCAAGACTGGCAATTTAGGCTCGCGACCTCTTTTCGATACTACACGCCAACTTGGCGTGAGATAAGTGGATTTAATGGGGTATCGTTGCTCTAGTTGACGTGTGCAGGATTAATTAGAATAGAGCTAAATCGTATGTAGAAGGCAGTAGGCTTTGTCGAAAACGGACTCCATTAAATAATCTTAGACTGTCAAGATCAAATGTACGGTACTTCAATGTTTCTTTTTAGCGAATTTTTCGAGGACACTGACCTACCTGTACGATCAGATAGTAATTACGCTTATGTCATAAATCTAAAACTATACTCAGAGATTTTGGCTATTCTAAAACTACTATCTCTGTATACCGAATGAAAAGAATATTGCTAAAATTTATCTCCCACAAAAAATCCAGTGAACGAATACCATACATGCTAAACTTTGTACACAAATTGCAGGATCTTTGGCACAAACGAAATATTATCACTCATCTTATGAATTTTGACCCTGTGTATTGGATTGGGTGTTCTCTGTCCCCCTGAGGTAAGGGCGAATCAGTTACAACATTAATTTGACATAAAGGTTGGCGTTAGGAATAATGAGGACTTTTCTCACTTTGAATATGGCTACTATATACGACTAGGATAGGTTTTAGCAATTTCCTAAATTATAGCCGATATTTCAACGTATTTATGGCTGCTTCTACATATACTATTTAAATATAAATTGTCAGCTGCAAAAAATCGATAGGTCAAAAATAATTAAAGTAGTACGGGAAAAAAGCTGGGTGCAAACCCGGATCGTCCACGCTTCGGTTAGCTAATAAATTTCTTGTGTGAAAACGGAGCAGAATTGCTCAAATTTATTGCAAAAATAATAATTTATTTATGTAAATTATCTTATTTATTACGACCATATCGTAAACAAATGGTTAATATTATTTTATTATTTATTAAATGACAGATCGTATGCATGGCATATATAAGTATCGAGCTAGTCCAGATGGGGCAACCAATAACCCGTGTGGTTAGGTATAATACTGATAAAATTTTAAAACATACACTTATAAGGATCTATTGTGAATGGCTATGTTTGTGTATATCGTGTTCGTTAAGCCAACTGTTTTTTTTTTTGTTTTTTTTTTTATAGAGCTTGAAAATTGCTTTCTTTAATAATGCCTTCTCATGTTCATTCTGGTGATATTTCTTGTTTGCTTGCATTGTTTCAAATTCTGTTCCTAACAAATCAAGAAGAGTAACGGTTTTCTAAAATTTACTTTGTTTTAAAGGCTGTATTAGCTTGATTATCTAAGAATTAATTTAATGATAATTAAAGGAGATTATTGTTTTTTGTAATTTTACATTGTAACTTAGTTGATAAAATGTTTCAGCATCACCCAATAATAACTGTGGATGTTTTTTGGATGCTTTCTTCCTATATGAATTTGTGTATTTTATCTTTTGTTACTTGAGCTACCAGCATCCTTAATTAGAGCTCTCCGCATCTCTCTATCGAAAATAGGTCTGCATCTTTAGTTAACATCGCGGTTCAGACGATGGTCTGGGTTGAAATCAGGCCAATCAGAACTACTGGGATCGCAATTATCGAGTGCTACACCCATGATTATATCATATACAGCCTAAGCACAACGCCATAAGCTAAACATCAGAGACGAGTAGACGTGTTTTAGTTGAGCGCACTGGACAGCCCAAAGATACGAAATGCTGCACAATGATGCAAGGCCAATTCCAAGGAACCGGCACCTGACTGTGACACCATCAGTGCCGTGTTAATGCTTGTCGACCCAGAATGACAAGACAATGACGACAATACAAGCGACTGCGTACGTTCCCCGGAAGAGGGCGACTAAGTGAGATGTTGTTTACGAGGGCACACTCAAACGGGATCGTGTACAAAACACAAGCTTAATTTTTGCGACGTGCACGACTCGATAATGATATTAATCAAGACAAAGGCAGACAAACGATCCAGTCAAAACGGCTCCTAGATGGGGTTACTGATGGCTGAAGTTCACTTCGAACCTGCTGAAGATCAGCGACGAAAGGACCAGCAAGTGTCACGGCGCCCGTAATAACAGATGTTACTGCGAAGATGGCGTAAAGAACTCAAATATCCGAAACGGCTAGTTCTAACGAATTTACCGCCGTCGATGTTGATGTTCGACACAATGAACTGGAAAAATGTACGGTGAGCTTTCAAGCTAGTGCTGGCGCTAAAACAGATGAAATTAATTAAATTTAGATTATTATCCAGTGTACTTATTACCAAATATTATGGATCAGTAGCTAGTTGGGCTGGATTTTGTTGTTAGGAGGACATCTTCGGGACTCGTTTAGTTGGCTACTCCTGGAAAAGTAGCTGCTGTTAGTTCTAGTAGCCTAGGGTTACCTTATGCTGATTTGAAAACGTTTAGGCCCAGTATTAATCAGTTAATAGCCATAACAACGCATTTTTTGTAGTTGGACTTAAAAATAGTCTGGTTACGATTGGCAAGCACCTAAACTGGAACTCAGATGGTATGTACGCATCACGGGGCACACGTGCTTTCCCAAAGGCAGACAAGCCAAACGTTGGTACATAACAATTATAAATTGTGTACGCTTAATAATGTACTATTTTTGTTTTTTACTGATGTGTCTATGACAGACTTGTTCGATTTTATGATATATGATGGTATGGGACTATTTATTTTGGTCGCTGTAGCTTAAGTAGTTTTCAAAAACTCGCTAAAATAAGTAAATATGCATTGGAAATTTCTGTTTCGAACCAAACAAAAAAAAAAACAGCTCCAGATCATTTTCGGTTAAAATCATATACAACGCTAGTTTATTGATTTTGTCAGTTTCGTGAACGTTGAGGCCGCTTGTCAAGGCGCCGACGACCACAGTGATAATGCAAAGGCGGTTTCCAGTCTTTTGGACGACTTGAAGAACAGCAAGCGGCCATTAAACCAGCAGTGTATAGCGCTCCCTCATATCAGAGAGCCTAGAAATTTGGTTCGCGTTTCAAAATAAAAAGAATAAATATGTCAACACGCAAATAGAATAGGTTACCGACCTAGGTAGAAATTATACACTATCAACAAAGAGTACTGAGCACTAAGCGTTATCAGCTCAACAAGCAACATAAAGATATAACAGCTGTACTCGTTTTTATCAAAAAAGTCTTCAGTACAACACAGGGAAATATCTATTTTAACAATTTAAATATATAGTAGGATGAAACGATTACCTTTACAATTTTTATCAATCGATAAAAGCGAAAAATGTTAAAAATAAAAAAATATTAAAAAAATTAAAAAAAGACAATGCGGTGTATTTATATTGGATAAATACATCTTAATGATAACCCGTGGTGATCCACATCAGCCTTGTACAGTTATCATTCAGCTTAAGAGGCATATCTAGACTCATAAAAATATCTGTGTAGCTCAATTTGAAGGGTTGAAGTACATGATTCCAATTTTCATTATCATTTCGTGTTGTTTTTTTCGAGATTCCTAAGGACATATGTCAAAGTATTGATAGGTAAGGTCCATACTGACTGGCCTTCCCTTCGTAAAATGTTTGTTTAATATTTACGCTTAAAAAAATCATGGAACAAGTTAACCTTCGACGGGACAGTGTCTGACAGAGTCATAAATTAACAGTGGAAATTATTCAAGATAATTAGAGACACTAAGCGAACGAGAGACGTCAATTATCTTGTTGCTTTTTGGTAAGATCAAGAATTTTAGAAAATATGTTTCAACCTATTTAATACATTGGCAAAGGTTATTTTACGTGGGCACTTCTAAAATGTATCATTGCGAAAACTTTACATATAGTAACCACGAGGTAGGTACGGAAGCATTAGCTAGCGCTATATCTAGGTATAACATTTCACGTGTATTCAAAAACAGTAACAACGATATCGGCCCCTTTACCACTATATAAGTCTATATTATTATCCCTATAATATTAGAGGTAATTAACCACATCAGCAACTATTTTCGATTTTTGGGGAGCGGGAGACTTACCTATTAAAAAATGCTGACAGTGCGCATCATCGGTAATTTCAAGGTGGCTAATAGCCTCTTCGTGAAGATGAAGCTGAAGCTGAGATTCAGTGTCGCCGTGCCCGTTATTGCCGTAATCCCACCCTATGAGAAATCGTTGAACGAGTTAATTAAAGGACAAAAAGTAATTCAACGATTTTTATGATCAGTAATTAGGATAATCTCTGATTTAAGACTCTAGTATCTGAAATAGAGCAAGCTATATGTTCCACTTTTATTCTAAGCGTTATATCCTGCAAGCTGTATCATGCCGCTGCTTCTAACAGAGACAGTAAGCCTGTGATGAAAACCTGATCTATCTCGGTCCCCTTCATTTTGTTGGTGTTATAAAACTGCTTAAATTGTAACAGAGGAAGAAACACTCGAAATGGTACGCAAAACGGTATTTGTGTCAATTGTTGTCGATGCTAACCTAAACTAAGAATACTTTTACCGCAGTTGGTCCCGCTGTCGTATTAATATTATTACATTTTTTCTTAATCACAGTAAACATTTAGATCGTTGATAGATGTTCGTATGACAACTTCGATACTATACTTAAGCAGTTACTATAGTATCGAGGTTGGCATACGAAGTGTCACTTTATCGTTAGTTCTCACCTTCGCAAAGAGCGTGAAGAACCTGTCTCCCGTACAAAACTATCGTAAGCTTTTTTCCTTTGAACAGGCGTGAGGAGGACACCTTGTATTGCCGCTATCCTCACGAGATGATGTTGTCTATTAGTGTGGTCAAGTTCATTTATATCCATGTCGTTCATAGCAGTGCCGCTCATGGCGCCGGTCATCGTTTGGTTTACAATGCGTATCGTAGGTGGAAAATTCACTTTTGTCCCAAAACGAATGTGATCACGACCTTTATTTATAGAGCACTGCTTACTTCGCTACGGTCTCGTTCGATAAAAAAAAAAAAAAACCGAAAAAAAACAAAAAGAAATGAACCCCCCTTATGGATGCCACCGCATAGAGGCAAACAAACACTAGACAAGAAAATCACCTGCTTCCTTGAAGTAGCACCATACAAAAGCGCTCAGAGATACGTTAATCGCTGCCTAATGTAGGTGTGCTTTGTGTCACTGTAAACTCATTACTGTTCCCTAGACATTACTTACCATTTGTGCGTATTCATTCCCGACTCGAGAACAGCCAGTATAAGACCACGTATTTAAATTCTCTAACTCTCGCAGCTTACCGCATGATATATGCATGGTTTCACCTCATACAGAGGAAAATCTATGAATGAAGAAGTTAATGAATAGAGTGCGCACAGACGAAAATATGCCGCTGATATACCATGTTGTCGTAATCGGTGATAACTTGCAGTAAGGATTCTTCAACTTCTACTTCATTGTAAAACTATTCTAATGACGTAGCAAATCCTCGTACAGCTATAGAATTTTTGTTCTCTTACCCATTGTACAGGATATATAAACATGTATATAGCTATATGTATATATATATATATATATATATATACAAACAGGAAACATGTATATAGCTAAAATGTCTTCATTCGGTATGGACGATAACTTGAACCGTTAACGGTCTCCCTCAGAAATGGCAGACGAAAGCAGTGATGTCCTCCCATTGACACAGGCCGTTGATTTATCATTAACTATATAGAAACAATTATCGCCTGGAACCACCCATGAGCTGATAAGCGATTCGACACTCATCAAGCACGAGTGTCGCCACGATAGCGAAACTGAGATACTGAGGAAAGTTACTTATGTAAATTACTCATCATTAATGTTTATTATTATATTAATTTAGCCATAATCTTAACACAGTATGCGAGATTAAAGTAAATGTTACGCATTAGATTTGCGAGTGGAAGTTGATATAGTACAATATTATTAGATATGTTTCACAGTAAGCCTTGTTAGGTAGAATATTATAATGACTTTGAGAAGACTAACTTACAAAACGCAATATCGGATAAGCTATTTGCATAAACGTATCCCTTAGTATAACACATGTCCGCTAGTTTAAGTACTTGCTGCACTGCAAAATATGTCGTTCAAGATTTTCAAATCATCCTTCAGCAGTTTTATACCAGCCAAGTGTAAATCCAAGTTAAGCCTGTGAGTCCTCGTAATCTTGACGAAAGAGACGAACGGGGTTAAGTAATGGTCTATGGCTTGCCAGTAATCTCTAAAAGAGCTGGGCAAATAGACGACTAAAAACTTTTTTCCAAAAAATATGAGTAGTACTTAGCAATCACCGAGCGAAGTACCGGAAGCACACCCCAATAACTTTTGTTGATTAGAAAGAAATTTCCGCAAACAAGGATCTCCTAGAGGTACAATTGAATAAATCTATGGGTCAAGAGAAATCTGTTTTCTTAAAAAACATGCCCTCTATATAAGCATAGGATATTGGTTGAAGTTTGACTCAGACTTTTTCGAAAGGCCGCAGAATAGCTCGAAGTCTGGTGGTCTGATAACCGCCAAAGTCTTCGTCTTAAAATGAGTAGAGGTTAGCTAACAGACGTCTGCTATTAGGTTAGGTTAGTTAGGTTGTTTAATCTCCACAAGGACTATTCAGGTATCATGCATGACTGTTGCGTTCACGAACCTTGAGCTAAAGCTTCCAGCTCAATACCTGTAGAAAACTCACACTTCGCTTTCGAGAAGTCAGATGTCGGCTCGCCGCCCAAAAGAATTATAAACACAATCAAAAAGGCAACTTCATAAGGTCGGTTGGTTAAATTCCACTTAGAAGTAGGATACACCCAGCATGGCATATCTTTAGCGCGTATAATGAAAAGAAACCCGTCATTCAATTATATGGGCCCTAGTGCTCTTCGCAGCTCTATTTTCGTCCAGTAGAACCTCATGAGTGAGTGACCTTGCCATCAGAAATCACTGGCAAGGTCTTTGTTGGCCATATTTAATACCTAAGAAGATGGTAGATTGTCTAACAAATTCAACCGGTCATTATTTGGAGCGCCGGCTGTAGGTTGTATTCACATGCTCCTGAGACTGATCTTCGCTTCCACTTCTTTAAGCCAACGAAGCCACTTATGGTATTCCATCTCCGACAGGCGGTCGTCAGTTTACCTTGTAAAGCGCTCAGATGCCCAACCTGTTGTACGAAGCTTGTATACAAGACAGCCTCCTTTACAGGATCTCGTAAGCCGCGCGAAGCACTGTGTTTACTTTTACATACAAACCCAGAATTTTGGAAGTGCATTATCGCGTCGCGCATTACTAGCTATGAGATTCTTATCTTAAGCACCAGTATCCCTAGCCATTGATCGTAGTAGTGGCTTCTGACTAGTTGAAGTTTTCGGAAAAAGTGGCCACTTTGAAGTGGCTTCTTATCTTCGCTTTGCCGACTTTGTACATACTTATAAATTGTTCACGATAAAAGAAAAAAGTCTGTTACATTTCTGCTCTTGCCAGCGCTGGCATATAGCGTTTGTGGAAATAATTTACACGCCCTCTCAACTTATTAAACAGGATACCAATACAACACACGCACTACTCACGATCGTCTAATGTGAAAGTTACGTGGTACGATGGCAACGCGTATGAGAGTCAGCAAACTCGCTATAGTCACGCATACTAGCCGAGAAAATGAGGCCCAAGTTTCTAAAAATATGTGGGTCGGAGATGAGTCGTTTGATACTGACGGGTTCTGCTTTGGCATCATAAAGTCAATTAAAGTTGCAAATTGAAGAAACAGCTAGTTCAAAATGAATGGCTATAGAATACGGATGGATAGTTGTAGAAATTGAACACACTTAGTGTTGAAATTAAACTCTGACTATGTTGGCAGCAGTCTCAGGCGGCATGCGGCCTATTGGCTGCAAAAGCACAGGGCTTACCAAGTTGATATTGCTTGATTCGGGCTTGTTATTTGAGTTACTAGTCTCACCCCAACCTCGGTAAAATCTACAAGCTGACACACTGCTCTACAGAGGTTCGTCCTTGGAGACGAAGATCCTATCTGAAAAATGTATCCATTCGGTATGTTGATTCGTCCTTCGAAGCGGCCAATCGAATCGCAGAACAAAGTGCTCCCCTGTACCGCAACGGAACCACGAGAACGGATCTTGATGTTTATTTGCGTAATCATTAATAGTAACTTAATTGAGGATATATTGAGTTAGAAAAGAGTTTTTTGAGTAAACGTTTCAATTTATTACTTTTAAGTAGTCACACCTCTATATAACCTAGCTACCAGTGGTCATATACGAGTTTCATTAAGCTGTGTACACGATTCAGCTACATAGATATATTGGAATACATTTCTGAATCCAATGTCGAAGTATATAGGATGGATCTATTGTACATTCAAGTTTTTGCTTCTTGCAAGTCAAACCTATTTTTTTTTTGGTACAAGTTGCTCGAAGAGGTTCTGAGGTCGACGGATGGAATGTTTATATATGGCGATACACTATCCTATACAATGGAGTTTAAAAACAACTTTATAATAGATATACTCCATTCTCGAGTCATTGCATCTATTCTGTGTATATATAATGTTATTGGTATTTCTCTAATGTAAATGTGTATCTGTATACATCCTATTCGATGTATGCGTATGGATCCTCACATAGGCATATTGTAGAAACTCCTTTTCCCACTTGAAAAACTATAATTACTTAGTAATTTAATAAGAAAAGCCTCATGTTGCATGGAGTAATCATTTACATTGACAACGCAGCGCATATCATAAACGATGTTGCGTTGTAGTTATCACATGGATAAATTGCGTTCCCTCTTTAGTTGAATAATATTACTGAAATGGGGTAAACGAAACGTAACGAAAAAGTGACATCCTTTGTATACAGTTGCAATTCACAGCGAACGAAAATATATAACTTTAATTATTTCCTATTTTTTATTAGGGAAACTGGCATTATTGGGCACGTTTTTTATGGGTTTCGACTTGTAACAGCTAAATTTCTGGCATGTCAATGAAGTCAACTTGGTTTTCTACCGATTTACTGGCAGTGTCCTTCACATCGAAAACGACTGGGCGATTCCGTGTGCTGAGCAGCATTGCCAAGACATTAATAGTATGAATCGTCATGTAAATAGCAATGACATAGACGAAAATTGTGGGATTCGCTTTCACCGACAGCCCAACGAGCAATGGAGGAGCGCTCTGGCCAATGCAGGACGCAATCAATACTAAAGTCATGTGGACGAAACGAAGGCGCACGTAACGCACGGCCCAGGCCATAGCTGCTCCATAAGACGGCGCCAGACCAAATCCCATTATTCCAATAGAAAGCCATACGGCCCAATTATACGTTGTACTTAGGAAAAAAAGCACAAGTGCTCCGAGGACGCAAATCACTTGTACCAGTACAATGATCGTATGGGGGAGAAACTTGAATGAGAGAAGAATTGCAACGACTCGGCCGGACGTAAACGATGCCCAGTAGTCGGCCACGACGAACGAAGCCGAATGCTTGTCAAAAGTAAGATTACGGTTATTTACAAGGTAAACGCCTAGCATCTGTGCAAGAGTCATCTCAGTGCCGACCAGGACCAGGATATAGACAAAAAGATGTCCAACGACGATCCATTCAAAAAACGACGACTTCTCTTTAGGCACCTCCTCCGTATTCGAAGGTACCTGGCTGAAATCGGTGCTGTCGAAAAAGAACAGGACCAGCATGAAGACACCGGTCAGTGAGTATACGCCGCCATATAATCCGTAGGGGACCTGGATGTGCGTATCCGAGTAGCGTTCCACAACGCTTCCATTGTCAAGAGGTATCCTAAAACGGATTTCGTAGATGAAACAAGTTAGAAAATCGTTTGTGTTTGTTACGCTAAAGAAAACGTTTGAATGAAGGTTTTCATTGTCAATTTCCCTAAAAATCCATGTCTGTCTGCTCAGTTAGTGTTGTACAAAATTGCAAAATAAATAAAACATAAAAATGAATTTTATATTACAACTTCTTCTGCTCATTGCTATAACTGTCGCCACTTTATCCCACAGAAGAAGTTTTTTAGCTTATTTTTCAGTAGTCCGCTCGGAGCTGCGTGAATATGAACGAACCACTCTTTATAGCTGAGGAATGGCTCACTGAGGACGGGCGGTAGTAATGCTCCAACACCGAAGCTCAAGTGGTACATCTGGAAGGCGGGAGCGACCTTTCCCTTCCACAAATGTACTAGCCATACATTGCTACCTATTAGAGATTGAGAAAGACGTTCAAATTGCGTTAGATATACTAGAGATAGACGAGAAACCCTCGAAGTTCTAGATTATTGGCCCTCGCCTGCAACATGGGCATACTTACAACACGGCTCAGGAATAAATGTTATTTTTTTAGATCTTTAGTCTTCGCTTACATTGGCATGGGTATTATTTATAATATCATAAACGAGTTTTAATAAATTTACAAAATAATAGCTATTTTAGGTTTTGGATAAGGTAATACGTTAGTAGGAGATTTCAATGTGATCCAATACAAAGCAACAATAGCCAGAAACCCTGGAAACGCTCGACAACAGACGAAACATTACGTGGCACCCAAACAAAGTCAAAACAGACGAGTTTACAGAACTGTGGCATATTTCTGGAATACATGTTAGTATTTAATGCCAAGAAGTTTTGCGGAAGTAAAGGTCGACTCAACCACATCGCTGCTTAAAGAGGCATTACTGTTAAAGTGGGCATTCTAGCATAAACGATTTTTTCGCCCCCAACGTTCTTAACAGCCCGTCTTTACAGAACGAATATAGGTAAAGTATCATTACAATAAATTTTAAGTAGTTGCTTTAGTTCAAAACAACAGGGTAGGTCCTCACGTAGATGTTGTAGACTATTATATACATTATGTTGATATACGAGTAGCACCTCGAAAAAACAAATTCTTGGACAATTTCGTCAGAATTTTCAGATAACTAACATAGATTTTCCATTGCAGAAACTGACGCACGTATGGATCACGTCGACATTTTGTGCATAAACAATAAAATTAGTGTCTCGTTATTAAAATGCATCCATTGTAGTTGCATTATTTGAATGCATCCAACAAACAAGAAACAAAAAGCTTCCCTCAGTGCAAAAATATCTACGTTTCGTTGTATGCACAAGTGCAAACAGAAACCTTTTGGCAGTATGGCGAGTTTTATGTCGAAGCGATACGTTAAGTTCACTTATCTTACCCTCTCTCGATAGCAGAAAAACCAGTAAACGCGACTATGTTTACATGTAATGGACTAGGTTAATTACTGTTCTAAAACGTAGCAGACCTTCTGTAAAGTACGGTTACGCTGTGACGACTACACAAATAACAATCGAAATTGGCTGCAAAACGAAGCAGCGCTGCTGCTCTCTAGAGCGCTAGAGCGATACCAAACACCATTTACATAAAGATTTCTGACGCTGAAGCGTCTATTTTTAGTCTTCCGAAGTCCTTGACAATCATTGGCACTTTCTGCTATCTCAGTCATTCGATAATTAGGTGCGGAAATGTATCCATAAGAAGGACGGCGTTTTTTTCTGATTGTAGCTCCTACAAACGGGAGCTTCGCGAGTACCCAACGAAGTAATACTGTTCTGAGTGTTTACTGTCATTACCAGTGGGTTCGGCCATTTTATTCCGCCTGCGCATAGTGGGCTGGCCGACCTACTTTTAGGATCACCGCTCATACCACCAAGTCAACAACTGTGAACGTCGCTTCGAGAGAAACTCGTCGTTTTCTGGGCGCCATTGATATTTTTGTACTGTTCTTGCCAACACGTTCCATGCTGTTTTGTACCCTGAAATATTACCAAACCGGTTTAGTCTAACTCACCAATCACAGTTACAGCAACTCCTAAACTACGGGGTCCTCCAGGACCGTGAGGTTTGTCTTGAAGCCTCAGTAGCAATAGCTCTTGGATTTCTTCAGTTGACGTTTAAGGCATCAGGGACGTCGAGTGTGTAAATTAACCGCCTTCGTGAAAGTGAATTAATTTTGGCACATCTCAGTGCGGTGAGGCATTGAAGTGAAATTTGGTCAGTGATATTAAGGAACAAAACTATTTAAAATTTTGCAAAAAGAATCGAAGATTTAGGTTGCTTTTGGCGTCAGCAAAGTTGCCGAGAGATGCGTGCGTTGATGTAATACTTCGGTAGTTAGCCACCTCAGCAGGAGAGATACTAACGTTGCTTCAGCTCTGTGAACGTTCGGCATGTGATTCAAAATTCAACCTGACTAAATATTTAATGAACACTTTTAACGCTAAAAAGTAAACAGAGGTTTTTTGTAAGAAAAAAAAATTAGTACCACGAAAAAGACAAGATTCAAGCCTTTTTTCCGACAGCTGGGTGGGGCGCCTCTTATCCATACCCGATCGTACGTCGGGTCGATGGTTTATGATACCCTTTGCCTCTAGTGTAGTTATCTCGATCATGCGACATTATTTTCTACGTGATGCTATTGACACACGTTACCATCGGATCTTCCTGAGGCAGCGGAACGGGAGGAGTTGATTACAGTATTAGAAATAGTACTCATGTCATGAATATCCTAAACCTGGTCCTAATGAGAATTCACCTGTTTCGAGGATACCGACACACATGCCGACAACCAACATCGCTCCTTGGGCTGCCAGAAGAGTTCCACTGAAGGGTACAATTGCATTTGCGACTCCGCCCACGATCATAGCCGAGGCCAGCACAAGCTTGCCATTTAATATCCGGTAAAGCACACTCGTAGAAAGTAACGAACCTTAAATTGCGCATTTATTTATTAGATGATGGTAACGTCGTCCTACGATTTAGGACGAATAATTTTGTACGCTATAAGTATGGATGTGGCGCTTAGTTAGCTCGCGCGAACTTTAGGGTTCGACTAACTTGTGTCAACTTGTATGCTGTGCTTGCACTTGTAAAATAATTCAATTTTATCAGAATTCTGATCAAACAAATTAGTTTTCGCGCTAATATTTGAACGAGTGCAATACGAAGTACACATATTCTTGTATGAATGTGTGCGGCGTTAGCAAAAGATAAAAAGAACTGATGACGGTAAATCCAGCCGACGTTATACGGACAACTGCTTTTTATTAGATCCATGTTTTTAAAATCCCGCAAGCCTACGCTTTCATTTCACGTTCTAAACAAAAACTATGCGGATATCCCTCTAACCGACAGACATTAAAAACTATATACATAGGGAAAGTTTATCACCCTGGTTACGACGACTTGACCTTTCCTCTTCTGCTCAATTGTTCTCCACATAGACTATTAGCATGGTTATTTTTTTACTATGTATTCCTATAATAGTAACCTGTACATTAGATATATGTGTTTACTTACCTGCAAATACACCGAAGCCCCGAAGGGTCAACACAAGCGAGGTATTTTCCACATCTGATTGTAAAAGCTGACTCAGATCGAAAAGGGTTGTCCCTGTGATCGCAGATACCAGCCCCTAAATTAATTAGAACAAAAGGGACACAGGACTATTGATTCATTTAATTGTGGATATCTACTAGACGTCGACCAAAGGCCGACTTAAATGGGAACACAGTCAGTACTATTCGATTGAATCGTTCCTAGAATAAACCGTCGCTATTGACCGCCGCAAGCCCTTTCGCAGAGAACAACCGAACCTCATAAGATAGATAAAGATATTGTAATTTCTGGTGAAGCGGAAGTTACTCTGACCGTATCTTTGATCGCTGTCCGATATTCTGTTACGCACACTTCGCGTAGTGTGCAAGCTTCGTTTAGACATTTCCTGGTGAAGCTTTGAAGACCACATCGCGGTATGGGCCAAGTATTGATTTTCGACATGTTTTTACTTCGACAAAATGCTATCTTCGTTTAAATTTGCTAGTTTTTCCAAGCGTGCAAAAAGGTATACTATCTATATCTATTTCAGAATACGTACAATTGTTTTGCTTATGAAATTTCCAATTTCGTGTTTTTCTATTGGCATTTCCGACCATAATTATATGTCAAGTTGGTTGGCATACCAATGCGAAGAGAGCCAAAAAGACGCTGGATGTTTGCACCAGCCGAATACATCCTTTGTTGTCTCCAGGGTTGACTGCTATTACGGTCTTCATCTGAAAGCGCCAACAACAATCATTTGTATGACTTCAGCGCACCATTCTAACGTCTCACCGATAATGGCAGCAGAGTCACCGATGTTGAAAGTATTACTAATAAATGTTACGTAGTCTTTCTTTTCGTGCGCAAACACAGACGAATTTTCGAGTAGAACTAGCATATTATTATTAAACTTGGAGCGGTTAGTAAGAACGACACGTGATCTCACTTGTAGCGGTGGCCGTTTGAGGAACTATGATAATTCACTAAGAGTTGGCGAAGGCGATCACTTTTCGAAGAAACTCTTACAGACAATCCAAGCCACTGAAGTAAATGTTGACGACAGGCTTCGTTACGATCTCCGTACGCCTACAAACCATTTGCGGTAACTATTGAGTGCCGATAGCTATTAGCGTTGATTGAGAAAGTATGAATATTCCATGAATCGTTTGCACAACATTACAATAAACACCTGTTCATGCACACATGTCACTTCAGAACTCATCATGTCATGAGGCTGGAGAATGTAAATTCCTTCAATTTCTCGCCGAAGGCCGGCGATACGATATTACTGTATGGTATGCTAATACTAGTTGAATCAGTGCAGTCTAATCTTCCTGACATTCAAAACCAACAGCATCGAATTTTACCAGTCCTGAAAATGTGTCATGGATGATTGCAACAGGCAACGGTTTTATCTACATACACTTACAGGAACACTGTCAGATGACAGGTCGTGGAGACAAACTCGCTCAAAGGAATTATCTCTTAGAAGCGCGGCTCGCGTACTGACCTATTCGCGCATATAGTCTCTGCGCTGGACTAGTCTGTTCTGGAAAGGTGGTGGCAGTCACACGCTGTTACAGGTGGGCACTGCCCTTTCGTGTGTTGCGACGATGGCAAGTGGATATTACTTAATGGCAGCAGGGAAGACACGCTAATGTTTCTCTCTCTTTCATACGTTCGGGTCTAGGCATCCATATAGAAATTATTTCCCAAGGGCAGTTCTATCTAATGGGTAGTATTAACACTCCTTACGAGAGGGCATTCTTCTTTTTTGAGGGCAACTTGGCGTCCGATTGTAACTATGACATGATAATTTTCTTGCCGTATTGCAGGAGCAACTTGCATCGAGTGCCCGCTTTCAGTCTGGTCTGCGGATAGGTTAAAACCGATTTTCCTGTGGCACGCTCGAACATAGCCGATCTATGCGAACGTTGTTGAGAATTTGTTGATCAAGTTTAACGCAAAGGCATATATTCCATATGAGCTGTACTTTAACTCTCAGCAAATTTGGCCATTTAGGTAACCTTGGTACCTCGATTCACTTTTCGAATTTTATTCGAAACACATTGTTGGTCGAATATGAGAAACTATGCTCGAACAAAGAAAATAAAATACAGAGTATGCAATACATTGCAAAGGTTTGTAGTCCCACAGTTGCCTCATAGGAGGATGTGAATCTTTGTACAGCGTGGAGTAAAAAGACACTGACTTGTCTGCTTATTACCGTATCAGGGGCTAATACCGCCTGTTGCATTAGAGTAGCTGAATGAATGCCTCAAATGTCTGGTCGTCAAGATCCTACTAAAAAGCTGAGTTCTTATCAGTTATTTGAAAGACGATGGGTTTCACGTAAGAATTACATAAATCTTATGGTTATAAGTCGATTGGCTTCGAAATCAGCGCAGGTGTATCAAGCTTGATTTTATGACTGACCTCTCGTATGCCGGCACGACATAGAATAGAGAAAAAACCAAAGTTTGCCCCTGGATACGTATAAAATTCGTTGTATAGGGCTTCCTGAGCTTCATCATAGGGTTGCTCCACTGTAGAGCGACGAAAACCTTTACTACGTTTAAAACAAAAATAAGAAATTTTACACACGATGGGGTATCAAAAGGAAGCCGTGTGAAAAGGGAAAAGCTGTTACAGATCGCTGTTAAGAATACTCTGAATTTGTAAATATCAACCAAGAGTAACAGCACCCCATTTGTACGGCTAACTCAAAGGTTTTCACCGCTCTAATAGTAACTGCGTCAATATTTTTATCAACTTTTCCTTAGTTCATTATCTATATTTAACATGGCCTAGAGAAAAGCATCTTTTCTTAAGTTTGTAGTGGGTGTTGCGGTAAACGGAGTAATCACAAATAATGACATTGCAGGGTTTGATCCTTCTAAGTAAATCATAGGTGTCACTCAAGAAGACCTATTTTTCTTAATCATTAACGACCTGCTAACCGAGATTAAAAAGCACAACCCTTAAATGAATGTGCTTCTGTACGCTAACGATTTACTGGTATTCACTATGAGCCACCACAACCAGCGAAAAAAATATCATTGATGATTGAGAACTTACACGCGGCAAGTGCCCTTAACCTAGATTGTTAGCCTAAAAGTAGAATGCGGCTAATACTCCACATATGAAGCAGCTTAACGGCCCTACCCACGGTAAGCCAACCAACCCTGAGCGCGTCCTGGACCTCCATGCTTCTTCGAAAAATCCATCTTTCTACAAGCTCTCATACGAAACATCATAGTTTTGCGCGAAGCTGAGCCAAACGTTTGATCCGAAAGGAATAGAGATCTGCTGACGCTTTATTCGCAAGAAAAAAATGCATATTAATTACATAGACCCTAACTACGATGGCCGATTTAGACTGGAATGAATAGAAGTAATATAACAAGCTGTTGAGTCGCAGCTAGATGTAGCAGCCTGGTCAGGCTCTATCATGTAGTCCAGCAAACGTTAGGTTATTATAGCTTTTTTCGTGGGGTACGGTGATATATTTATCAAATAATGCTACAGTTACAAAAATAATGATGTCTATAAACAGCTGAAAGACAAAATGGACTTCATAGGCTGGAGCTGTGCCGTCTTACAAATTGTGGCTTGACGTCTATAGTCGTTTTTGTCGGATAATGTATATGCATCTTTTGGTTGCCGAACAAACAGTATTACACGAAATTTTACTTAGGTAAAAATTTGCCTAATCTTTCTGAAAATATGTATCTGAAAATGTATGTTCTGAAAATCTGGCCCCCGTTTCATTCGTCATTAAAATTTAGTGCCTGTTCATATTGGAACGACTGCATATTAGGCATGTGTTCGAACGTAGACTGGTCGAGTAATCTTAATCACCGTCATGATACTTCATCATGTTGATATACGATAGGTTATTGAAATCCCAGGTCGGCTCAGCCTTCGAAATACCGCCTATTAAACGGCGTTCTATTTTTTTCGCCAAATATCTTTGCTCGGCTAATCAAAAAAATTATCGAAAACAACTCCAATCTTCTATACTACCTGACTTAATTCAAGGTATTAAAGGACATACATAAAATATTATACTGCTACTACTGCTTATATCATAAACTTCAGCCATTAGAAAACTTAGTCATAATAAATAATGGACAAAGCAATTGTTTTTGTTTGGAACTTTACTTTACAATATTCTCTTTCTCTGTAATGAATGAAAAGCGTAGTTAATTCCGTCAATTTAATAATATTTTTACTATAAACATTTTCATAAAGTATCTATAGTAGTAACATAATTTTACGAACTCAAAAAAGGCATAAAGTTTCTATGTAAAGGCTCATCCCTACTTGATGAATACGAACATCTGCGCTACTAGAAAATCGATGACAGAGTTGTAGTTCTGCCTATAAATTAGATAAAGATTAAACTGGTAAAGTTTTCTATCGAGGCTGTTGCTTCAAGATCAACGTTTAAAATAGCAGTGCGCCGCAGGATAGGTACGCTGCCCCTCACAGGATCTTCTTCCCGCGGGAAGCTGTCCCCGACTGGGTTTTGCGTGCTTACAACAGTTAATGCAGCAGCTCTAGACCAGTCAGTTAATCCAAACACTCTAATTTGCTAGCGATAACAATGTTTGGGCTTATCGTACCTGGCGTAAGTTACATGAAAAGTTCGGAGTGCTAGAACATTTAGTTTACCCAGAAGCTTAGGTCTACGGATGCAAGGCATTATACGTTTACTATGTGGGTCAAAAAAACTACCCGAACGAGGCCTAATTTCTATCAAAGACAATTTTTTTTAGCTAGATCACCTAACGAACAAAATTCCTACATACAGCATAGAACATTCATATTATGAATGACCGCTGCATAAGGCTACGGTGCGGCTTCTAGCCACGACATGAAACCGATTTTTCCGTTTCTCGTTACCCAACTTCGTACCAAGAACAGCACACCAAGCGGTTTTCCGTTGGCGGAACTGAAAGAGTTTGGGTCGAAAGTGATTCCAGCAGGGCATGCCACCTGCCGCTGCACGCTCTGAGTGTTGTAATTTGGTAATATAGTAAGGTACGCAATGAACGAAGGCAAATTGTGCTTTTGGTGAACGCACATACTCCCTCGACGCACCCGTCTCATGGAAACTCCGTTCGATACTGCGTTTTTCTAAAACGTCTACCGAACGAAGTTGTTGACGATTGAAGAACCGAGAAGTGTAGCGCTCGAAAAGGGCTGGCAGCCATGTTAAATTATAACTAAAAAAAAAAGATAATAGAAAAATGCATGAGATAAAGAAACTGCGGGACGGTCATTTGAGTAATATACATATCGTAAATATAAAATAAATAGGGTATTTACGACTGAAATCTAAATTTTAAATTGTAGATATTCGACACATTTGTATCATTTATTTATTAGAGTTGTAAATTTACGCGGCGAAAATCGATGGCTATATACCTTGCCAAAACGCTATCCAGAAGCCGGTGTATTTATCAATTTTAGATGCTCTAAGTTGAACAGCTCAGAAGCTCTTGGCAGCGCAGAATCTTTTCATTTTGTTACTAATGCGCCGTCTCATGTTCCTTACAAACGCATATCATCTTCCTTTATCGACCATTATAATATACGAATCTTAGAAATGATTCTCATTATCTTATTATACCTGTTTATTCCTAAGAAGCTGTGTAACACTAAAAGTAAGTGCTAAACTCAGGCCTGTGTAGAGCCGACACAGCCTTCTTCTTTGGAACAATATTTAGAAAAACAATCTTCGGAAACCGAAAACGATCTGGGGGAACCTGGGACCTTTGAAGTACTGTCATGTGTTTACTTTAAGTTACCCACTAATTAATCACATGACATAACGAATAAGCTTACGAAGCTTTCGATCAAATGCTGATAAAACACGCTTCGAACTAGGTTGTTGAAAATTGGTCGCCACATTGAAGCGTACTTTAAGGGCTCTTGTTTTCTCCGACGTTTGGCCCCTTACGACCTCAAGGAATCTGCCAGACAGAGTTATTAGTCGTTTTGGCATCTTTTGCTGGTCGCTAGCGAACAGCGACTAACGGAACGGAGCGCAACGTAACGGAAACAAATAATGAATCTGCTGGATCGTCATATTACACATTAAAATGCCAAAGCTAGAAAATTTTTACTGGGCAACACTTGTTGTTACCGTCAGCCCAGCCACAAGTTAATTTCTATCCAGCCAAAGAGCGGAAAAAGTTATACCAGTCTAGATAAAAACAGGTCGCAGTGTGGCCGGTGCGTGACAATATGAAGATAATAGTGTTTTCCTTAGATCTATAACTAGAGCATTTACTATACTGTCAACACAACTGTCTGTATACCTAGAACGGTACGCTATGGTTTTGCTGAGAAAAAAAATGTTGCACGCTAGCAATGGATTAAAATAATAGATATAATTATTCAGTATTAATATCGTGGAATATCGACTTGGCATGCCGTAGTAAGATTGGACGACTCTGTATTGTAGGTTAAACGGTATCGATAATCCCATGCTGCATGTAGTCCGTTCATACTGGCCTTGTCCAACCGAGGACGTCACACCTGCTCTTCCATTGACTGTGTATGGCTCGTTTATCTTAATGTTATCGTCTTCTACGATTT